TGGGTGTGGACTAAACACATGATATTCAGATAGCTACTTGGATGGGTGTGGACTAAACACATGTTTAGTGTTTGGCATCGAGAAAAAAGTAAACACCAAGGAACTAACGCAAATGTTCACTTTTATAACAAAATCGCCAAATGAAGTCGCGGAAATTCTATGTAATGAGAAAGTCTAAATAAACACCGTACATTCAAAATACATATTTATCTGTAACCACTAATTGCAGTAACACTAGGAGGGGTCTGGAAAACAACTAGATCTTTTAGCTCGTTGATTTACCTCTTGAGGAGTTATGACATTATCGTCATCATAATCCCATCCTTTAAACGTCTCCTGATTGGTCGTTTCAACGCCCACGTCAGGCACTTGATACTCACTTCTATCTAGTCCCAGCTTAGTTGCCTGGTCGATTAACTTCTGACACTCGTCTTCTGCTAAGAAATCTGGTATTTCTGGTATACGAGATTGAAAATAATGAGTCAAGTTATGTAATGAGATAAAGAAACAAGTCACTTACCAAATATGGGTGGATTGAGACTTCTGGTTATGACGTCATAAAACTTTCCAGGCTCCAACTCTAGATTCTGCACGTGACCAACCTGTAGGAATAAAACTTCTGTGACTCACTTCGTTTCCTCTCACTTCGCTATATAAACCTTTTTAATCATAACGAAACATTTGCACAGGGGGAGGGGGAGGGGGTTTGTAAAAGTTTTCAAATATAGGCCGAGAAAAATGAATATTGTATCAAAATCTGTGAATACTGATAAGACAGAGTATTTTCTCACTGTGTTCATGTTGATTATTATGCGAATATTAAATCTATTCTGTAATCAATTATTAATACTTACCTTTACTCCATCGCGTCTGGGGAGTATTTTGAACTTGTCTTCACTGTTATCTTTTACAACTTGTTTATCATTCGTGCTCGGCGTTATTTCCTGTTCTGGTGTTGTAGAGGCTTCTGCTTTGTCTTCCATTGACGGACTACTGTTTATTTCGGGTTCTGTTGTCGCTTCTTCCTTCTTTACAGCTGTCATCATGCTCGGTGTTATTTCCTGTTCTGGTGTTGTAGAGGCTTCTGCTTTGTCTTCCATTGACGGACTACTGTTTATTTC